GCAGAGAGTGGCTACCCTCCTACAACCATTTACACAGTGTGGAGGGCAGCCTATCATCTCCCAAATGGAGGAAGAAATGAGGACAATGTACAAGCCAAGTGCCTGGCTTCTGGGACTGAATGAGACATCAGGAAAAGAAGCTGGCGCTGTTGCCACGGCTGACTTTATAGCGCCGTAACCAGGCAAGTAGCTTGCCTGAGTCAAGAAGTCTCATTTAACATTCTCAAGAGTGGGAGGGAGGGAGGCAAGAGCTGTCACACGGTTTTAGCTGCCACCCCTGCCTGCCCTGGCTGTGTGGTATGGGATCCACTGCACAGGAGAAGAGAAGCAGTCCACGTGGAAATTGTTAATAAGCCAGTGGCATGTCTGCACTCACCTTTAAGGAGGTGAGAAGGTCAGAAGCTCTTACTGTAAAGTTAGGAGTGATAGTGATGGCTCCAAATACCGTCCCTCCTCATAGCAGCTGCAAGGGGAGCCCTGCACAAGTGTTCCAGGGCTGCTATGACAAAAAGAAGGTGCTATGACAGACAAGGGGATGTAAAAAACAAATATCCACTCTCTTATAGTTCTGGAGGCAAAGAAATCACAAAACAAGGTGTTGACAGGACTGTGCTCCTTTGAGAGTTCCAGGGGAGGATCCCTCCTGCCTCTTTCAGCTTCTGGAGGCTGTTGGCATTCCTTGGCTTACTGCCTCATCACTCAAGTCTCTGCCTAGTCTTCATATGCCTTCTCTATATGTGTCTTCTCTTCTGTCTCTTATAAAGATACCTGTCACAGGATTTAGGATCCACCCAGGTAACCCAGGAAACTCTCATTTTGTGGTCTTTAACTTAATCACACCAGCAAAAAGGTCCTGTCATAAAATATCTTCTGGAGTCCATAGAACATACCCTCGACTTCATCTCCTTGACTACAATCTGTGCCTATAGAGGTCTGGATTTTAAAGATAAGTAGCCAACTAATGTGGACATCAATCAGGCCAGGCGCTCTGCCTTGTCTGAAGGACAAGAAAAGAAATCTATAGTGGCTACTTTAGCCCTTGACCAGCGCCGGCTTCATGAATGAAGGTTCGAAACATGAGAAACCTCTAGGGAGTTTTGAATCAAAGAGACAAGACCCTAATTACCTTTAAACCAGCTCCAGGGCGGCTCCTCCTAACTCCAGCCTCCAGCCACCTATTGTGGTGGCAAGGTTTGCTAAAGAGGCTAGCGAGAGAGAGAGCACGCCAGGGAGTGGATTTTTATTGGGGAACAAAAAATTCTGGGGAAAATCCCATCCAAAAGATTAAGGGGGGCAGCATCCCAAGGTCAGAGGCGACGCTTGGGTCTTCGGGGTAGTGGCCAGACACGTCTCCGCATGGACAAGCCCTCAGACCTGAGAAGGGTGGGGAAAGCTCTAGACACAGGATGTGCCTAAGTGCCTCTCTACCAGCCAGGGTGGTAATTCAAATCACGTGTGAGGATGGCCTCCCATAGGCTACAGTGATGGTCCAAAGCCAGCCCCCAATCATTAGCAACCCCCTCTCTGCATCCACATGCTCAGGGGAGACATTGTGTCAGGTCCCATACAGCAGATGCAGTGTAATACATGGAAGGTAATCAGGATCCTCATGAATCAAAACAATCTGCTTACTGATTTACAATATTATCTCAGATACAAGATGAGAAGACAAATCTGGCCCCAAAAAGTCACCAATAAATAAATAATTAAATCAAAAACACAGTAAGCCCTCAGCTCCCATAAACAGTAACATTCCTTAACACTCAACATTTACTATGCTGGGGCTATATGGTTAGGAATGGGGAGAGTCAGGCAGAGCTCTACACCCCAGTCAGAGGTGACCCCAGGTGCAGGTTGGGACCTAGCTGATGGGAGAGCCATTGCAAGAGGGTTATGATGCTCTACATGACTCCTTTTTCTGTAGACCCTTTACTCCTTTTTCTGTAGACCCTGTTCAGTATAAGAAACCAGATGCCCAGGTTGAGAGAAACCTATGATACAGTCAGAAACTGAAGGCCCAAGGGCCCTCTGTTGGGCCACTGGTGCAAGTTCTGTAGTTCAAAGTGAAGCTATGATAGAAATATAATGCTATCCACTGACAGTAACAGCCTTCCCCCAGGAAAGGAGCCCTCTAAGATCAGGCAGGTGTGGCTTCATGGCCTACCTCCACCCCTGGACATCTACTTACCATCTTAGAATCTCAATATCATAACCTATAAAACGAGTTTGCAAAGCGCCAAACAGCATTGTAAGGCACCTCACCTGAATCCTGGCTCAGCAACATGTTCAATAAATGATGACCATTAGTATTAGATATTAATGCTTTGGGATCTGACCATATCTTATTCCATTTGTATTTGTACACACAAGTTTACAAGACATTCAAAAAAAGTAACATGGCTATGAAATATCCATGAAGAAGTCAGAGTCACCTCTAGCAATGAAAACCCTTAAGAGGTGAGCAATATTGTAATAATCATATTTTACAGAAATAATGTAAAGTAAAAGGAATCTTTGGCAGATTATAACTCCAACAGGTTTTGAATATCATGGCTATGGGCTTAGAGACCAGTCACAAATGTCAGTCATAACTGTCACAGGTGAGGAAGTTATCAGCTTCAAAGTGCAGTAGACCACGTGAAGAGGGCTTGCCAAGGGATCCCCACTCACAGAGGGACTACTCAGAATACTGAGACCTTCCCCACAATCTGCACTGAAAATTGGCATGTTGGCTAGAAAACTTGAAAGGGGAAGACCTGCTCTGAACGTAGGCAGCACCATCCGGTAGGCTGGGGCCCAGATGGAAGAAAGGAGAAGAAAGGTTGTTGAAAGCTCAACTAAAGGCAGGAGGCAGGGATGCTCCAGACAGTACATTGGGATAGAGGCCCTAGCGTCACAAAGACCCAGTGTGGTTCAGGTGGCCAGTACAGTCAGTGTGTTGCTCACATTCTTAAATCTCAACAACTGTGCAAAGCCCGAGTGAAGTACAGGCTGTGAGGATACTTAGATGTCAAACAGGACTCAACAGAAAGGAGTCAGTGGTGTTCACAGGAGGCTGCAGCCTGCAGCTATCTCAGTACTGCCTTGATACCCAGGTTTTATATGGTTTGGTATAGGGATAAGGGACTAAGCTGCCAGGATGATAACAGCTATATGAGTCAGGGTTCTCCGGAGAGACAGAACCAAACCGCCGTGTGTGTGTGTGTGTGTGTGTGTGTGTGTGGTGTTTTCATTTATTTGATTGTCTCACATGATAACAGAGGTTGAAAAGTTCCATCTGCATTCTGGAAAGCCAGGGAAGCTAAAGCTACTTAGTACAAGAAACCAGATACCCAGGTTGAGAGAAACCTATGATACAGTCAGAGACTGAAGGCCCAAGGGCCCTCTGTTGGGCCACTGGTGCAAGTCCTGTAGTTCAAAGACCAAAGAACCTGGAGTTTGATGTTCAAGGGCAGGAAAAGTATGCCCACTCAGGAAGGAAGAGCCAGAGAGAAAGATGTTCTCCTTTCTTCCATCTGGGCCCCAGCCTACCTGATGGTGCTGCCTACATTCAGAGCAGGTCTTCCCCTTTCAAGTTTTCTAGCCAACATGCCAATTTTCTGAAATATATTCACAGACATATCTGTAAATATTTACCAGTTCTTACAAGCCAGTCAAGCTGATGCCCAAAGTCAACCTTTAAAGAGTCAACTGACACACTGTCACAGCACTCATGAACAGAAGAGCACTTTCTTCTTTCTGGCTGAATGCTACCTCAGCACAGGATGTGGGACAGAGTGAGATATAAAACAAAAATTGAACTACCTTGGCTTGTACAAGGCTGCCTGGAGCCCTGTGTCAGACCCCATGAGTATCACCTCTGTGAGCAGAGGTGTGCCTGGGTGCCTGGGAAAATCAGAACCAGGGACAGGCAGAGTCCAGTCCCACTGCTGGAAACTCTGCATATCTCACAAAGGACCTTAGGCGAGAGAGCAAGCCACAGCCCTGGCAGCACTGAGCACTTGCTATCTGTGCTTGGGTCAGTGGGTACCCCTACATAACCCACAATAAACACCATTTTCCAGGTTTAATGATGAGATGGAGCTAGGGCATTGACAGCACCTTCCCCACTTAGTCCCTGGACCATGTATTCCCTCTTAGCATGCAGGCAGCCAGGACAGAGTGCCTATGGGTCTGTAATGCTCTCTGCCCTGTTGACACCAGCCAGGATGGCTCAGACAGGTCCACCACCACTGAGTACCACTTACAGAAATTGAATAGATCCTTGTTTCTTTTTTTTACTGAACACTTTGCACATATAAAGAATATATTTGTATAAAACTTTGAGGTTTTTTTGGTTTGAAACTATATTTTTCTTTTCATCTCTACCATGCTCCACTTAAGCACCTCCATAGAAGGAAAGAAGAAACAAAAAGTTAGTTCAAAATACACCATGCACCAATTTTCCTGCAGGAAGCCTCCTTTTAGGTAGCACACAATCTCTGCTAGCAGGGATCAGAGTTGCCACAGAAGAGGTGACTTAGCAGCCGACATACCTGGCTCAGGTGTGCAGCCCAATTTGTGGGAAACTATTAATTGATAACATTTTAATTTACAACTTAATTTGAATTTACAACTTAATTTCACTGTTCCAACATTTAAGTTATGTTTTACCAGCTTTTGGGTGAGAATCACTTAGTCAAATAAACCTGTTTATCTGAATTTATTAGCTCTCACCCACTAGATTGGCATTTGGAAAAATTCAACCCACTTTTTTTTTCAGTGTACTTGTTTTTGTGTTACATATACGGAATAACCAAGACCCTGAAGGCTGAGGCTGCAAATGGGAAGACCCACAAAGGTGCACTCTGAGCAGTAAGCAGAAATGCTCAAGAAATTCCATTTGCCCCGACTGCATGAATGTCAAGATCTGGCTGCTGAAATGTAAAGACTGGGTCAAGGGGTATTACATCAAGTTCGAAACCTACCTGGCAGCTCTGCACACACATACCCACACTTACCAAAACACACTTCCCTGGCTCGAGGCTCCAGAGGGAACTCTCCGTGTTGATCTTGTGGGTGAGTTTCCCTTCCATGAGAACCCGCTCCCCGCTTTCTTCCAGCATGGCCACACGGATGGAGCCACTACTAAGGACCACTGAGACCTGGAACACAGAAGAAAATTATCTCACCTGTGAGGGTGGTCACTGGTGTGCTGTATGATGGAAAGACAATCATTTCTGGTACACATTTGCATACTATAACACTCATCAGCTTAACTAGGCATCTGTGTAAAGAAAGCCATTCCAGACTAATCCATATCCAGAGCTACCGGCACATTGTCAGTTCCTTCAGGCAAACACAGCAAAAAGTCTTTCTCAAACGACAACATCAGGTGCTATGGTGGAAGTTACTAGTTTTCTACCCAAGTCCCATTTACCTTCTCCAGTTGGGGAAACTGATTGTCACGGTGGAAGGTAAGCAGAGGGGACAGGTGGTGGGTGTTTTCCCTGGCTTCCCTTGGAGGATATAGAAACCCAGCCCTGGACCACATCCAGGACAGTTATAATACAGCCTTATGCTAGGACTGCTTGCTGTCATGCAAAAGACAAGCACAGCCTCTCTCTCTAAGTCGCTGCATAGCCTGTGACCAAAAGGTCAGCCTTCACCTAGGACAATGAGTCCAGTTACTCTGGTTTGTATTTTGCCTTGGTTCTTTACAAAACCATGTTCTGAGAAGCCTTAGGTTATCCTCCTCCTTCTATGCATGTCCTGAGAAGAAACCAGTTACATGCCTGCCTTGTCCTGGGCACACTCCCTGTCCCACCACCTGTCTCCACACTTGATTGGGAACTACTGGGAACAGGTTTTCTTTACTTCACACCATGTAGCCCAGCCAACACTCTCCAAAGCAGGGTGAATGCCCACAAGAGGTCCTAGGATCAGCAATTGAAGGAGGAAAGAAAACAGAACTCTTCTTTGAATGTTACACTCACTCTTTTTAAATTCTAAAATCTACGTGTTTTATCATGTAAAAATCCTTTTGTAAGAGTAAAGGCTGAGTATCTCTTGTCTGAAATGCTTGGGACCATAAGCATTTCCAATTTTGGAGTTTTTCAGATTTGGGGATATTTCTATAGACACGTCAAGGATTTAGTATCCCTAATCTGAAAATCAGAAATATGAAATTTTTCTATTACAGATGTTCAACCTATATTTGTACAATGTACAGGTTAAATAGAAATTGGCAGAAAGTACTTTTGAAGCATTTTTCTAGTAAGTTTGTGGAATTACAACAGTTTAGAGACTATCTGGCAGGTGCTCATTAAATGCTTAGAAAATGACTGAAAAATAAAATCCTCAAAATTACAGAATTTTCCAAGTGGAGTTTAGTATTTACAAATGAAATGATACTATAGCTTAAGCATAGTTCAAATACCCATGAATACAAAAGAAAAGGGAGTGACCATGTGCAGCGATTGCCCCATCAGATGCTTCTCAATGAAAGACTATGTGTACATTCAGGGGAGGAGGTGGCAGAAGCGCTGCCCTAGAGGACACAGGACCCCTGGGAAAACTCAGCCACAACATTCCACTTGTGTCAGGCTGCACTGCCAGTTTCAAGTACAGATTCAGAGAGGCATCCTCCCAGGAGGTCCCCTTGCACTAACCTCTCATACAAGTATTCACTGTAGAAAAGACTGTAACCTGTCAGCTCACACCAGAAAATCTTTCTCAACATAAGTACAACATCAGGTGCTACGGTGGAAATTACTGGTTTTCTACCCAAATCCCTCTACTATCTTCAATTAGGGAGACTCTCTCTCAGGCTAAGAAGGTGAGCAGAAGAGACAGGAAGTATGGGCTGGGGATGTGACTCAAGCGGTAACACGCTCGCCTGGCATGTGCGCGGCAGTGGGTTCGATCCTCAGCACCACATACAAATAAAGATGTGTCCACTGAAAAGTAAAAAATAAATATTAAAAAATTCTCTCTCTCTCTCTCTCTCTTTAAAGAGAGAGAGAGAGAGAGAGAGAGAGAGAGACAGGAAGTAGGTGTTTCCCCTGACCTCCCCAGAGGCTAAAGGAGCTCAGCCTAGACCATAGCACATGGGAGAGCTGCAGTCCTGTAGAGCAGAATCACACAGCACTGCCCACCTTCTAACAGCAAAAGAACATAAGAAAACATGATGAAGCCCAGCTCATTTCTGGATGAATCTTCATAAATCCTAGGCCAAATCCAGTCTGTGAATTTCTGTGGGTGATGACCAGACTGCAGGTCAAGACTCCCTTAGTACTGGAGTCCCAAGCTCACTTTAACAAATAAATTCTCCTAGCAGCTTTACATGACATGATAATTTCCAACTCTGGGCAAGATTCTCACATGGCCTATCCAGAGGAATGAACTAAATCCTCAAGGGGAAAAAAATCAGACAAGATATACTCGTTGAAAATATCACACCTTGAAAAGAAGGATATCACTCTGACCTGCAGCCTACAGAAATGACATTAACAAAGAACAAAATCTCAGTTAGTAAAAGGAGAAAAAGTGGGAGCTCCTTAGGAGCTCCCATTTTTTTGAGATGTTAACAAACCTATGGAAAATAGAAAAAGGAATGGCAACACGCAATAGATCTACAGAGTCAGGGACAGCTAGGGTCTCCAGCTGGGAGTCAGCAGGCATGGAAGCAAAGGTGAGGTCAGGGACACAGGGGAATAGCTGGGAGCTAGCCCCAGGGAACAGGTGCATGCATGGAAGCCCTGCCAGGAGAGGCAGGATTCCACTGTTTGTCCCAGAGCAAAGGATAGCCTTCTTTCAGAAATCCACCAGGTATCTGAGGAGCATGATATGGATATGAATGCCCCAAGTGAAGTCCTATTCACTCAAGCACTGGGACACCCAAGGTCTCAAACCCTGTAAAGTAAAGCTAAGCGGTCTACCACTCAGCTGTCATATGGTGGGAAGAACAGATCACTGACACACAACAGAGAAACTGTCAACACTGCCCCACATTCAAGAGAACAGGGAAAAAATTTAAAAGAAAAGAAACAAAAGATTCAGAATCAATGCTGAAGATTCTGAGGGACAGAGTCAACTATAGAAGAAAAAGAAACAAGTTCAGCATCTGTAGATACAATTAATAAAAATAGGGTGAATTTAAGTTGTGGGTAAATTACCTTTGCAAAATGGTATGACATGTAATAGTACTTTCAAACTTCTGAATTCAGCCTAAGCTGAATATTGAGCTATACAGTAAATAATGAATAAAATTCAAAAAAAAAAAAGAAATAAAAGAACTATTAGGGGGCATTACAGCTTTTGAAACCAGCAGCATGAATAGAAAAACTTAAAAACAAAGATTACAGAGCTAATTAGAAAAACATTTATTCAAATATTTCAATTTTATATCCTTACAAGATCTGAGAAGATACTGCATCAGTGGAGCCAGGATAAAATATGAAAAAAGAGCTAGTGGGGCTGGGGTTGTAGCTCAGTGGTAGAGTGCTTGCCTAGCATGTGTGAGGCATTAGGTGCAATTCTCAGCACCACATAAAAATAAATAAATAAAATAAAGGTATTGGGCCCATCTACAACTAAAAAATAAATAATAAATAAAAAAGAGATAGTAAACCAAAAAGAAAGAACACAAGAATTAAAAACATAGTGGCTAAAATAAAAATTTCAATAGAAAGGCCATAAGATAAAAGTCAAAGAAATAAAAATAGAGATATAGAGATCAATTTAAGCAATTAATTGGACATTTCAAAAATTATGACAATAATAAACAAATTTCCCTGGGCTGAAGAAAAATATGCCTTCAGATTGAAACAATCTACTGAGAGCTAAGCAGAATGAATGAAGAATAATTTAAATAAGATCATGTAATTTCATAACATTGAATGCTTTAAAAAAGGTCCTCAGAGTTCCAAAGTGGAAGAGACAAAGTTTACTCACAAAGAATCTGAAGGATGAGACTTTTTGAATTAGTAACACTGGACATAAGAAGTGTCTTTTTTTTTTTTTTTAAGTTGTAGATACACACAATATCTTTATTTATTTCTATGTGGTGCTGAGGATCGAACCCAGTGCCTCACATGTGTTAAGCATGCACTCTACCACTGCGCTACACAGCTCCAGCCCCCAAAAGAAGCATCTTTAATCTTCCAATGGGAGAGCTATTTTAAGACAGAATTCTAAATGTGTTGAAATTATGAAATAAACAAAAGGTTAAAATATTAACACTTTAAGACATATAAGAACTCTGAGGTGATTTGACTTGAATCCCATGAGCATTTTTTTTTAACTCTGACACATATCACTTTGAGAAAAACAAAATGAGAATGAAAACGTAAAACAAAAGTCAACTGGACCCCCCCCAACCCCCCCATAAAAACAAAAACAGTGCACTTAATCTAGAAGTATAGGATGGTAGCTAAATAGCAGAACTAGAGAGAAATCAGTCAGACTGAAGTCAGAGGTAATAGTTTCAGGAAGAAGGTGATTTCTAGACAACACAGTATAATTGAGTCTGAGTAACTCTGAGGTTATGAGGAAAGTATAGTACTTTTGACAAGATAAAAAGTGAGGCAAAAAGAAACTAGGAAAATCAAAACAATGGAAAATTCCTAACCCAAAGGCACGTCAGTAAATCCAAAGGTATGTCAATAAAAATGACAAAGTAAATAACTCCTACAAATCTCTATCTTACATAAAAGCAACAAGAAAAATGGCAAAAATTATCTGAATCAATTTCTTATGAACTCTGGAAACTAACCAAAGGTTTGTGGGAACTCAAGAAATATCTAATCACAAAAAAATGACCATACCCCTAGTAAGAACAGTAAGCTCTGTGACATTTTAATTTGTGCCAGATGCATCCCTACTCCCTCGCTCCTTGGCAGTTTGCATTCCTAGTGCATCCTAGCACCATCATAGGGAGTAAAACAAAGCTAGAGCTCTTTCAAAACTTTATTCCAGCAAAGGCCATTTTTTGACTTGTCTGTTGACTTACTGGAAGACCTTGCTTGCAAGACTGTTTTCAACTAGACTGTTTTACCCTCAGGAAGTGTTTGTTGAGAACAATTATGGGCAAGTGTTTAACTTTGAAATTATTAAAGGTAGTGGATAACAACTGAGGCAAACAAAAGAAAAGTCTGGGGAATAA